ATTTGAATTAGAATTTTAAAGATAAAATATCTACTATTTTATTTTATTTTATTTTATCCCATGCAAGCGCACAAAAATAAGCAATGATTAGCATTAAGAAAAAAAGCCTCCTAGAACTATTTCCCAATTACCATGGTATACAACATGTTTAATTATCCCAAAAGCATACATAAATGATGTAGAACCAATCTACATCAAAGATAATACGATTAAGTAACATTAAGGTTTACTGCTCAGAATAATCAGGGGACTGTATTAAGTACAAACGAATTTCTTTTTCAAAGCTTAGGTACTCAAAACATTCAGAAACTTTGGAATGTACCATAAAACTCCCATAATTCTTAACTGTAAGTCATTATCTTCATAGTTTGTGGCTTCACACCTAACATACTTAAAGGAGATTACTATTATACTTTTTAAAAATAGTTTTCCAATTTGATAGTTCCCAAGTATAAAATACAAAGATACTATCTTGTAGCTATGATAGTTCATTAGCATTGCAGACAACCTGCTACATATACAGAAAAGACAGAGAGTAGCTTCTAAACAATGAAATATTAATAATTCATTAAGTGAATGAGGAGAGTCATGGAAATCAGACATATAAACCCTAAGTTCAGACAGCAGATCTTGAAAAGATTGGGAGTGGGGAGGGGAAAATATGCACCATCAATGTTATTTGTAAGGTTCCAGTTCTTAAACTCTAAGTAGTGGATGCAGAGGTAATTGTTTCATTAATCTACATTTCTGTGTGCCTGAAATATTTAGTAATTTAAAAAAACAGACTCACCGATCAATTACAATTTCTTTCTGTCTTAGAAGTCCTTCTTTTATTTTCAACATTGATTCCCACTTACTGAAATCCTGATAGCCAGAAGGTGAATAACTTTGACGAGATGATCCAGTCAAAACCTGCACAAACATGTTTACACTATTAGTATGCTAAAAGTATCCAAAGGAATATTTATATACCATCTAATATTTTCACAATGATTTTCTTTAAAAAATAGAGAAATTGCTCCAACTTTTCAAAGACTCTCTGAAATCACACTTGTGAATACAACATAACTTGAAGAAATTCAAGGAAGTTCCAAAGTAAATGTACAAGTCTAATGAAGAATTGATAACAACAGGACATTTAAACTGGCTAATTATAATACCATATATAAGATCTTATTTTCATTATCTTGTGGAGTAGAATCTTTCTGGAAATAAGAGCTTAATCACTGGCTAAGGAAGGAGTATAATTAAGGAACATACCACAGCCTAACTAAACAAACATTACCAGGAGGGTTTCCGCAAGGAAATAAAAGCAGTACCTATAGTAATTCAAACTTCAAATTGTCATGCATCATATCATCATTTAATTACATTAAAATTTCAAAATGATAAATGTTTTCTATATCCATAGAAAATATGACTATCTATTAAGCAGGTAATTTGTATGATTATTGTTCTCCAGTGTAAATTATACCATTTAGAAAAAATCTGCTTAGACTTTGAGAAAAATTTCAGATACTTAAAATAAATCAACAACAGTAAAAACCAATGTGGCAAATATCCTCAAATTTCTACCACTAAAATAACGACAAACATTTTTTTTAACATTGGCATCATGGGTTCAATTGTGTCCCCTCAAAAAGATAAGCTGAATTCCTAACTCCTAGTACCTCAGAAAGTGATCTTATTTGGAAATAGGGTCTTTGCAGATGTAGTCAAGTTAAGATGAGGTCCTTAGGGTGAACCCTAATCCAATATGACTGGTGTCCTTACAGAAAGGGAAAAATTTAAACACGCACACAAGGAAGACCGTGTGAAGAGACACAGAGATAATCCCACATGAATATGAAAGCAGGGACTGGAGCGATACATCTACAAGCCAGTAAAACACCAGAAGCTAGGAGAGGGGTATGGGACAGCTTGTCCTACACGGTCCTCAGAAGGAACCAACTCTGCCAACACCTTAATTTCCAACTTTTAGCTTCCAGAACTGTGAGACAATAAATTTCTGTTGTTTAAGCTACCCAGTTTGTGCTACTTTGTTAAGGCAGCGCTAGGAACCTGGTTTCAAATAGAAACGTAAATTCCTTGGCAAGCTAGAAGATGCTGTATAAACATCACAAAGGAACATTAGGAGAATTCAAATGTACAGTACTATTTTTATCCTTTATTTTCCAAAGATGCTACTAACAAGGACTACTTCTGAGTAAACTAATTGTGTGACATCAAGCAGTCCTAGATTAACTCTTTAAACAACCTCTATGGAAAACAGTGTGGAGATTTCTCAAAGAACTAAAAACAGAACTACCATTTGATCCAGCGATCCCACCACTGGGTATCTACCCAAAGTAAAAGAAATCCTTATATCAAAAAGATATCTGCACTGGTATGTTTATCACAGCACTATCCACAACAGCAACGACATGGAATCAACCTAAATGTCCAAGTGTCCATCAAGTGATGATTGGATAAAGAAAATGTGTTGTGTATGTATATACATTATGTGTACATATACACACGCAACATGGACTACTACTCAGCCATAAAAAGAATAAAATTGTGTCCTTTGCAGCAACATGGATGGAACTGGAGGCCATTATCTTAGGTGAAATGACTCAGAAACGGAAAGTCAAATACCACATGTTCTCACTTATAAGTGGGAGCTAAATAATGTATAGACATGGACATAGAAAGTGGAATAATAGACATTGGAGATTCATAAGGGCAGAAAGGGGCTATGGAATGAAAAATTACCTAATGGATACTAGGTACATTAATAGAGTGAGGGTTACACAAAAAGTTCAGACTTCACCATGATGCAATATATCCATATATCAAAACTGTACTTATACACCCTGAAACGATAAAAATAATTTTAAAAATAACATTATCAAAAAAAGTAAAATAACTGGCTGGTTGTGGTGGCTCACACCTGTAATCCTAGCACGTTGGGAGGCTGAGGCAGGAAGATCACTTGAGGCCAGGCGTTTAAGACCAGCCTGAGCAACGTAGTGAGAACCTATCTCCACAAAATACAAAAATTAGCCAGGCATGGTGGCATGTGCCTGTAGTCCCAGCTACTCAGGAGTCTGAGGCAGGAGCATGGCTTGAGCTTAGGAGTTTGAGGTTACGGTGAGCTCTGATTATACCATTGCACTCCAGCCTGAGCAACAGAGTAAGACCTTGTCACAAATAAACAAACAAACAAACAAATAAAATAAATTAAGAGATAGTCAAGTAATATTAGGATTAGATGTTTCACAAGGAAGATAGGGTGAGTATAGACTAAGGACAGAAATCAGTTGATATTAATTACAGGGTACATATCTTCTCAGATAAAGAGATATTTTGAGTGTAAATGACACATGGTGTCATAGGGCAGGTTAGTCAGAGATCCTGACTCTGAATTTCTTTCTTTCCCTTGTCTAATATACAACAAAGGCTAATAATCAGCCAGCATGCACCGGTACAGATGTTAGTTGTTACAATACCGAAGTACTTTCACTATGGTTGGTAACTAAATGCTATTCAAACCCTCTAACTGTCCTTTCCACAGCCAGACCACTCCTCAGAATTCTCCATGATCCAACAAATAAAGTGTTACTTCCCAGGGGGTGTGGGAGGTGGGGAGAGATGGCTGACTAAAGACATTGGTTGCTAGATTGTCCCAAATAGAAGAAAAAGTTTCAGGTGAGAAAGCATAGCCCGGGAGAAATGCTGAAGAACGATGACAGAATCTACCCTTACCAGAGATCCCAGGGGAAGAAGATGTGGAGCAGAATAAGAAGGAACAAAATTTTGGCAGAGATCTACCCACGAGGGATTTGGAACCAAGCAGAAATGGTAGGTCAGAGTGTTTGCTTTTCCTTCTCTCAATCCTGTAGCAGTCTGCCAGATCCCAGTGTGTTGGAGAGCCCTTCTACTGTGATGAATCTAGGCGCTGCTACCATCGGCAAACTGAGAGCTTCATGGGAGCAGAACACTGGGCTGCGGCCCACGTAGGGTCACTTCCCGTTGACACAGACCTGAGCTGAGACAGCAGATGCCATACTGCCTGCACACATGCCAGGTGTCTTTACTGGACTTACAAAGAACAGGTACCTATCCTACTGAAACTGGCACATAACATCAAGAGGGAGGGACTCCTCCCTAACTAATTCTACGAAGGCAGTATCACCCTATACCAAAGCCAGGAAAGGACACAAAAAAAGAGAAAACTACAGACCAATATACCTCATGAACACAGATGCAAAAGTCCTCAACAAAATACTAGCAAACTGAATCCAACAGTACATCAAGAAAATAATTCACCATGACCAAGTGGGTTTCATCACAGGGATGCAAGGATGACTCAACAGATATAAATCAATAAATGTGGTTCACCACATAAACAGATCTAAAAACAAAAACCATATGATCATCTCAGTAGATGCAGAAAAAGCATTCGATAAAATCCAGCACTGTTTTAGGATAAAAACTTTTAACAAACTAGGCATAGAAGGAACATAGCTCAAAATAATAAAAGCCATATATGACAAGCCCACAGCCAACATCATACTGAATGGGGTAAAATTGAAAACATTCCCCCTAAGAACTGGAACAAGACAAGGGTGCCCACTTTCACCAGTTCTAATCAACATAGTACTGGAACCCCTAGCCAGAGCAATTGAACAAAAGAAAGAAATAAAGAGTATCCAAATCAGGAATGAGGAAGTCAAACTATCCCTGTTTGCCAACGATATGATCTTATATCTAGAAAACACTAAAGACTCCTCCAAAAGACTCCCAGAATTGATAAATAGATTCAGTAAAGTGGGTCAAAAAATTAATTCACAAAAATCAGTTGTATTTCCATACACCATTAACAGTCAAGCTGAGAATCAAGAACTCAGTATTATTTACAATAGATGCAAAAAAATAACGTAAAATACCTAGGAATATACTTAAGCAAGGAGGTGAAAGATCTCTACAAGGAGAATTACAAAACACTGATGAAAGAAATCATAGATGACAGAAATGGATGGAAAAACAATGTTAATGGATTGGAAGAATATTGTTATAATGCCTTTACTGCCCAAAATGATTTACAGATTCAATACAATTTCCATCCAAATACCAATGTCATTTTACACAGAACTAGAAAAAAAGTACCAAATTTCATATGGAATAAAAAAAGACCCTGAATTGCCAAAGCAATCCTAAGGAAAAAGAACAAATCTGAAGCATCACATTACTTGACTTTATACTACAAGGCTGTAGTAACCAAAATATTAATAGCACAGCACTAGTATAAAAGTAGATACATGGATCAATGGAACAAAAATAGACAACCCAGAAATAAAACATTGACAACCAACTGATCTTCTACAAACCAGACAAAAATATACACTGGGAAAGGACCCACTATTCAATAAATGGTGTTGGGAAAATTGGAGAGCCACATGGGGAAGTATGAAACTGGATCCCTATCTCTCACCATACACAAAAATAAACTCAAGATGGATTAAAGACTTAAATGTAAACCTTGATGCTATAAAACCTCTAGAAGAAAATGTAGGAAAAACTCTTCTGGACATTGGCCTAGGCAAAGAATTTGTGAACAAGATCCCAAAAGAAAATACAACAAAAACGAAACAAATAGATGTGACCTAATTAAACTAAAAAGTTTCTACACAGTAAAAGAAATAATTAACAGAGCAAATAGGCAACCTACAGAATGGGAGAAAACACTCGCAAACTATACATCTGACAAAGGACTACTATCCAGAATCTACAAGGAACACAAATAAATCAGCTACAAAAAAACAAATAACCCCATTAAAAAGTGGCAAAAGACATGAACATTTTTCAGTAGATGAGACACAAAGGACAAACATATGAAAAAATGCTTAACATCACTAATCATCATGGAA